GCCCTCCAGCAGCGGACCTTCATTTTTTCCTCCAGGAGTGAGGTGGAAAAACCCTACATCACCTTCTTGGATTCTTATTACCCAAGTTACTAAGAACATTACCAGTGGCGTACAGGGAGCTTAGCCAATGAGCTATCAGAAAAGGTGTTTCCTCTGCAGCTCACCTGCAGAGGCAGGACTGTTGGCAAGCCTAGACTGGCACACACCCTGTCTCTGGGCCTGCTCAAGCCTCCAATGTGGCTTGGGCAGGGGCCCCTTGGCTCTGATCAGGCCTCCGCTGTGGCTTAGGCAGGGCCCCCGGCTCCGATCAAGCCTCAGCTGTGGCTTGGGCAGGGTCCCCCACTCCTCTCTGGCCCTGCTCAAGCCTCTGCTGCCTCGCCTCCACAGTGCCAAGGCCCATAGGCCAGGAGTGGCCAGGGTGTTCTGGGACTGAGGCCGCTCAGAGCCTATGCTGGGGCCTGCAGGCTCTGAGCTGCCTGGGTCCCAAGGATGTTCCCAGACCTAGGCTGCTGGGCGCCTGTGTATGCCAAATAACCTGCCATCTTTGTTGAGTTAATATGCATACTCACTCCTGATTGGCTGGTGGGCGTGGCTTGTGGGCATCGTGAAGGTATGGTCAATTTGCATCTTTCTCTTTTATTAGTATAGATTACAAATTTTAGCTTTTTACTATTTGCATCTGAATTTCTTACATATAATTTTTTGTTTTATTTCCTCTGAAGTTTCTTTTCACCTTTCTCTTCTGTGTCTTCTTAAAATAGTGAACACATATCATAGATCTAAGATTATTCTTTATCTTATAGATATTACATATGTATTACATCTACTTTATTTCTGAATTGTGCTTAGAGTTCTGACCTCAAGCTCCATTCTAGCCCAGTGGATCTCTAGGCCAGTTTCCACAGCTAAAATTGAGATTTTACTTCATATAACTCTTAAATTGAGAACATTGTTTCTAGGAATCAGTGTCTTTTTAGGGTGTTATTTTGTTTTTTTTTAAATAGTTATTTTTTATTGATTTTAATATATTTTTATTGATTTCAGAGAGGAAGGGAGAAAGAGATAGAAACATCAGTGACGAGAGAGAGAGAATCACTGATCGGATGCCTCCTGCATGCCTCCAACTGGAGATTGAGCCCACAACCCAGGCACGTGCCCTTGACTGGAATTGAACCTGGGACCCTTCAGTCTGCAGGCTGATGCTCTATCCACTGAGCCAAACCAGCTAGGGCTAGGGTGTTATTTTAAATTGTTGTTTGGTTGATTGGCCTGTTGGTTGTATTATTAACTTACTGTTGTTTTGTGGGGTTTTTTTTTCCAGAAGGAATATATAAAAGGTAAGCTCTGAGTTCCTGAAGAATGAAACTGTCTCTGTTTTGATCTCACACTGAATATGGATGCTATGAAATAGAACAGAAAAGTAATGAGAAGTCACAACTCCAAAGTCAGAAGCCTTGTGCTCAAATAGCAGCACCAGCATTCTGTGTCTTTGGGAAGGTTACTTATTCTCTTTGTGCTTCTAATTTCTTATGTGACTGATGGGATTTTAATGGTGTCTAAGACACAAGATTAAATAAATTAGTATAGAAAGAAGAGGGTTTGTCATATTGTGAGCATAATATGAATATGGATATTAATAGAATATGGGTCCCAAGTCTGGATTCAAGTTATCATCCATCAACATGTAAAAGCCTTTGCTCCTTTATTGTTCAGTATGTGGTGTTATTGGTGAGAAATTTGATCAATCTCATTTTTATTCTTTTGCAATAATCGGCTTTGGTGTCTATAAAACCTTTTAGAATCCCCTGTATTTGACATTCTGAATATCATGTGATTGGGTCTAGGTGTGGAGGATTTACTTCATTGATTCAGCCTTTGCTGTTCCCATTGATCTGAAAATTTGTTATCTTCTGCTTTAGGAAATTTTCTTGATTATTCTTGAATGTTTTTATTTTTTCAATTTTCACTCTTCTCTGCTTATGACTAAATATGATGGCAAGCGATAGACATTCTCAAGTGAACTGGATACTCCAAAATATAGTGCCCATGGTTCTTTCCTGAAAAACATTTTATGGGGACACTATCAGTTAGTGAGAAGGGTGATGAAGAAATAAAATAAGATGCATCAGAGAATGACTGAGTATATCCTGCTTTTCCACTTGACATGTCAAACATTTATTTGCATACTATCAGAAAGTGTACTACATATTATTTTAATAGCTTTTGGACTATAGCTGTAGTAAAACTTCTTTGAACAATGATGATTTTTTTTTCATTTGCTAAGGGGGAATGTTTCTTCCTTACTGCTCCTGTTTCCTTACATGAATAACATCCATTAACATAATACTCCTTGCTTCTCTCAATCCTATCTACTATCCCTTAGTTACCCTTACTCGGTCTCAAAGAGATTTACCTGATTTGTAAATTTCAGAGGAGCCATGCTCCTTCTTCTCTTTTTTTTTCCTTTTGAACTGATGCCATAAACAAGTATGTAATTTGGGTTGCTCTTCTGTATGCCATTAATTTTGAAGGACTCTCTGCTCCTATAAGGTAGCAGCAATGGTAAAGGAGCTGGCAGACTTGGGGGTGGAATGTCAAAGAAACCAACAGGAGGGACATTAGCCAGATACCTTAAGAAAGATGCATGCAATTTTGAAGAAAAATACTAAATAATGAAAATTTAAATCTTAACTAAAGATTTAAACTTTGTTGCTTCTTTATTAAACACAGGCTTTTCCCTTGGTAGTATGTAGCTTATATTTTCAATGTAGTTATATCTTTATACACATACAGTTCATTGTCTTCTAATATTTACAACACAGTAAGAGACTTTAAATCTTAACTCTCATGGTATTTTTAAAGAAGATTGCAGTTTAAGATGTCTTACTTTATAAAAGATAAGATATACAGTGGCTGTTTCTATAGAAGCAGGGCTACAAATATTGTGCCTTAGAAATCATGAAAGTTCCAGGGTTTTAAGAAAAAGCATAATCTTTTGGAGGCATTAGCTAGATGTTGAACTACTACCATAGAAGACACTGAGTATGCTGACCAGGTATATGGGAGCTTTAGGATCCAGATTCCTGCAGGTTGACCTACAATTCTATAGGCACAATTCCCCTTAGAAAGCATGATGCATTAGAACACCAGTGTAGTTTGTTAATGCTAGCTATGGAACTATGTTCAAAGAAAAACTTAATATTCTTTAATATACTGGATAGGAAATAAATACATATTGAATAATACCCCATTCCAAATTTCTAAACTTTTTAAGAAGATGGCAATGTCTCAAGACATTTCATTGATGTAATTATAAATCCTATGCAATGTTTTTTTCCTAAACAGTTAAGAATGAAAGTTATTGAATCCACATGTGAGTAGAATCTATAAATTTCTATGAAATAGATATCTATTCAGTGAGGTTTAGAAAATTAAAATAGGCCAAAACCATGGAAGAATTTAGAAATGTGTCAAATATTCCTCCTCAGTACTTCACAGGTAAAATATTTTAACCTTTATGGAATATGTAATTTCCATATAAATTAAAACTATTACTAACATTAAGATGGAAACTAAGAATTATAGCATAAATGATAATATAAAACGATAGTATCTCTGACCTTTGATTATCTCTCAATACTAATGCATCAGCAACTCCTGCTAATTGTGCCTCCTAAATATCTCTCAAATCTATCCACTTCTCTTCACCTCTAATACTTTTCCTCATAGGGGGTAGACAACATTCTTAAGCATGGCTGAATAACATTGCTTTCTCTGGCCCTAACTACCATTCTAGATTCATTAGGCAATATGCATTACCACTGACTCACTCTTTTTTTTATATATATTTTTATTGATTTTTTACAGAGAGGAAGGGAGAGGGATAGAGAGTTAGAATCATCGATGAGAGAGAAACATCGATCAGCTGCCTCCTGCACACTCCCTACTGGGGATGTGCCCGCAACCAAGGTACATGCCCTTGATCGGAATCGAACCTGGGACCCTTGAGTCTGCAGGCTGATGCTCTATCCACTGAGCCAAACTGGTTAGGGCATACCACTGACTCATTCTTATGGACACATATAGACCCTGTAAAAAGGAATTAGATTTGTGTTAACTTGAATGGACATCACCTAGAGGTCTGGCTGGAGAATTGGGATGACTGCTAGAAATCTGGAGCTGTTGTGGAGTCATAAGTGACCAGTCAAATAAGGCATGCACAGTGTCAAGACTCTGAAGGTGGCGCGGTCAATGTGGCTCAGTGCTTGAGCATATATCTATGAACTAGGAGGTCACAAGTCAGGGCACATGCCCAGGTTGCAGGCTCAATCCCTAGTGTGGGGCGTGCAGGAGGCAGCTGATCAGTGATTCTCTCTCATCATTGATGTTTCTATCTTTCTCTTCTTCCCCCCTCCCCTCTGAAATCAATAAAAATATATATTTTTAAAAGAATCTGAAGGTGGAAAGCCCCAGTACTGGAAGATAACTTTTGAAGAACCTAAAAAAGCATTTTCTGTGAGAGGAAATCATTTGGATTTCTTCCAGATAGAAAACCTATATTTCTGATAGAAATCCTTACATGATAGCCAAGTAATACCTTATCCTTTGTCTCTAATTCCCACTCTCTTACTATCCTGCAACAAACTGGGAAATCAAAGATCAGTAGACATTGCGTAAGAGAGGGGTAAAATAAGATAATAAAACAATCTCATCCCATTTTCATCCAATTACCAAAGTAGGCTGAAATTGGAAGAAAGAGAAGATTTACGTTATGCAAGACTGAATTTTTGCTATGGATTGTACTAGACTTTTTCTTATCTAAAAATGACATTATTAAATACCTAAAAGTGAATGGAAAGACAGTAGGATCTACCCAAGGGAATGTGAAATGGTGGAAAGGGACATTCAGCACATGTGCAGAAAAAGCATAACGTGTTCCTTTATTTTATTATTATTATTTTTCCATGGTTTAATCAGCCAACCCCTTCACTGTATTTTCTCTGGTGACCAGCCATCAGGACTCCAGCTCTCTGGCAACTCAGCTCCCAGAACAGGGTAATATAACCCTCTTCCTTTGCTCCACTGGCCCTAGTGGTGTCAGCAGTTCCCTGGGATTGTCAGTCTGAATTGTCTCTCTTTTTAAGAAATTTATCTTTATTGTTGAAAGTATTATAGATGTCTTCTTCTATTTTCCCATTGACCAACTCCACCCGCCCCTCCCAGGTCTTTACCACACTATTGTCTGTGTCCATGGGCTATGCATATATGCATAGGAGTTCCCAGGTTAATCTCTCCCCACCCACACACCTCCACCTCCCCCCCGCCCCTCTGAGATTCCTCAGTCTGTTCCATGCTTCTATGTCTCTGGGTCTATTTTGTTTCTCGGTTTATTTTGTTCATTAGATTCCATATATGAGTGAGATCATATGATGCCTGTCTTTCTCTGACTGGCTTATTTCACTTAATACAATACTCTCCAGGTCCTGCCTCAAATGGTAAGAGATCCTTCTATTTTTACTGTTGCATAGTATTTCATGGTATAAATGTACCACAGCTTTTCATATCCACTCATCTATTGATGGGCACTTGGGCTGTTTCCAGATCTTAGCTATTGTAAATTGTGCTGCTGTTGTCTCTTGGGTTCCTTCCTTCAGCTTTCCCAGCAACTGTTACTAGTTCCCTCTATTTAACTGAAGCCACTCCTCTTTTTTTTTTTTTTTTTGACTTGACTCTTTTAACGTGTTTTATAATAAAGGTAATTTATAACTTTAAAAATAACAAAACTATTTTGATTTAAAGATAACTTACAGAATACATGTGAAGCATTAAACTCAGTAAATACAAAAATGATGGGTAAAAAAGATACATGTTAGTCTAATCAGTTATTTAGACACACTGCAAAGTTGCAAGAATTATATAGTGAATACTAATTTTTATTCATAAAAATGGATTAATCCTAAAGAAAGGTCAAAAAAGTTTTCTGTTTTTATAAATATAATTTAATAGTGAAAGCAAAAACCACAGAAACAAGCTCTCTAATTAAGGAGAAGTGTTCATATTTTCTTAATAGCTAACCATATAATTTAAGGAGTTTTGGATTTAAAAGACAAGTATTCAATTCAAACCCATGTCCATCACTACTCATATTATCTTTTCCAATTCAATGTACTTCTCTTGAGCTCTAGTTGTCTCACCTGCAAGACTGGCAGGACAATACCAACCTACTATAATTTCTGTGAGGATGGATTAATATTAGGTCATGAAACTAGTCTGTAAATTTGAAAATACTGCAGTATAGAAATATTAGTTAATAGTATTCTTTTCTTTCACAGTCAGTTCTATAATCTTTGGATCTTCATGTTCTTACTAAAAAGTATTTAGTCCATCATTTTTGTCTGTTTTCACATAAAATTAGCTTCATCCTCTAATTATTTGTAAGCCTTTTAGTCTCCATGGCAATTTCAACTGCATCTTGCTCAAGTTGCAACAATATTATCACAGGCAATTTTCAGATGCAGAGAAATCAAGTTTTTATTTAAAGAAAAAATCAATCATGCTCTCAGTTTCTTTCCTAATATATTTTTTTATGTTCATTGGTTAGGGAATGCATTTTGAAAGTCATTTGAAAATACTACCTAAAGTTTATTTGAAAAAGATATAAGAACGGGATAAGGAAGCAAGAATATATGTAGATTTAGAAACCAATGTATAAATATGTGAACATTAACATAATTTTAGAATTGCTTCTTTTTTATTTTACATTTCAATTACTTCATTTACATGAATCTGGAATTATGCTATCTATAATAACAAAAGCATAATATGCTAATTAGACCAGACAGCTGAATGACCATCTGGACATCATTCTGGACGTCCTTCCAGACAAAGCCACGATGGCGGGGGCCAAGGCAGAGGCAGTTAGAGGTGATCAGGCAGGCAGGTGAGTGGTTAGGGGTGATCAGGCAGGCAGGCAAGCGAGTGGTTAGGGTGATCAGGCAGGCAGACAGAGGCAGTTAGGGGCGATCAGGCAGGCAGGCAGAGTGGTTAGGAGCTATCAGGCAGACAGGCGAGTGGTTAGGGGTGATGAAGCAGGCATGAATGGTTAGGGGTGATTAGGCAGGCAGGCAGGCAGGCAGGCAAGCGGTTAGGAGCCAGCAGTCCCGGATTGTGATAGGGATGCCTGACTGCCAGTTTAGGCCCTATCCCCTGAAGGGTCCCGGATTGCGAGAGGGTGCAGGCCGGGCTGAGGGACCCTCCACCCCCCGTGCATGAATTTTGTGCACCGGGCCTCTAGTAGTCTTTTAATATCAGATAACCATGTTTTTGGGGTTTTTTTTTTAAAAAAAAACAAACAGTGTTAGGTCACTACCTATAAAGATACATCTCAGTCCTGGCCTGCTGGCTTAGTTGGTTGGAGCATCATCCCTTACACCTAAAGGTGGAGGTTTTGATTCCCAGTCAGGGCACATACCTAGGTTGTGGTTTGATCCCTGATCTGGGTGCCTACAGGGAGGCAACTGATCAATGTTTCTCTCTCACACTGATCTCTCTCTCCTCTTTCCTTCCACCCTCCCTCCCTCTCTCTAAACACACACACAAACACACACACACAAACACACACACATATCCTCAGGTGAGGATTTTTAAAAACAATACATATCTCATTGTTTTCTGTTTGTGGTCATGGCAGAGAATGTTAGTATTCCTCTGCATTCCCAACCTCCCTTGCAAGTTGGGTCATGTGATGGGATCCTTGTAAAAGGACCATGGACAGAAGTGCTGCTGTTAGATAGGATGAAGCTCTTAAGGTCTGGGAAGTTCTAAGTGTTATTTTTTCCTAAAGGTTAAGTTATAGATTATAGACATGGCAGTGAACAGGATGAGCTGACGGGAACTCAATGGGATAAAAGTAGCCACTGCAAAGAAGAAATCAACATATCATTCACCAAGTAGTATATATAAGCAATGGCTAAGCCTCCCCACGAGGCAGAACTTTGGATATGAATTCCCTGTCTCCTTTACTTGCTGCAAGTAATTAAAACCTCCTTGAGACAGCCACGTCTCACTTTTTAATAGAGCATCCTAAGTGGCAAACACAAGTGTGTGTGGTAACACTGCAAGACATTTCCATTTCCAGGTCTGGCCCCTCAACAGACACCACACAAACCTCTGGTTCTATCTTGCCCTGCTAGCTTCTAGCAGTCTTGGAGCTGCGTGGTTCCAGTTGGTATCGCTATAAAACAGAGGAGGGCCACCCAACCCCACTGTACTCTGCATGAGCCAGAAACAACCTCTACTATGTTTAACCACTTTCATTTGTTGTTGCAAATTAATAGTTAGAGCAAGAGTTCTAGGACTGAAGGGATTAAGGGGTGCTTAGCGAACGAGGACAGTTGAAGAAGGACAGTATTCTTAAGAAGGCAAGAAATTCCAAAAGTGAACTCAGGCAATAGAATCAGAAGCTTGGTTCCTGCCCCAGCTAATGTGGCTAAGTTGATTGAAGCGTGGCTCCGTACACCAAAGGTGGCGAGTTCAATTTCCAGTCGGCATGTACCTAGGTTGCCAGTTCCACGGTTCCATCCCCCGTTGGCATGTGCCAGAGGCAACCAATAGATCCCTCCCTCCCTCCCTTCTTCTTTCCATTCCTTCCTGTAAAAACCAATAACATAAAAAAGAAGCTTGGTCCTAGAGATGATGAGGACACATAAAGCACTTCCTATATACCCCAACTGATTTGAATAGATGCTGGCTTTCTTATGGCGATCAGGAATCAGGAAGATTTTCAAGTCATTTTTTATTATAATTTTTAAATTCAGGCTTTTAATATGTCAGGTACTATTTTAAGCATTCAGTTTTAAAAAATCTTTTTAAGAATATTCAAGCAAAGGTGTTGTTATAATTCTACTTTAATAAATGAAGAAACGGAGGTTTAAGGAAGTTAAGTACATTATCCAAGGGAACAGAACTACTAAGTGGCAGAAGTGAGATTTGAACACAGATTTTTCTCTCTCCAGAACAGGGGCAGGCAGCCCACTATACATAATGCCTCTCTAGGAGAGAAGTGAACCCAGTTAGTTGAACTGGCATTTCTCTGAACTGTAGTCAGACACATTTCCACTGCACCACTGACAGAGATAGGCCTCTGGTGACTGTTCCTCCATTAGATGATAATTCTGGCAAACACACACACAAAAAACACGCACACACACCTTTAAATAGTATCTTCAAAGTTAAGTGAATGCTATGCCCTTAACTTTGATAATTTTGCTGGCTTCTTGACTTTTAACACTCAATCAGGTAATGCAGCTGTGAAATGATCTGGTTTATATGTTGTTTACTTTTTTTATTTTTGTCTTGATGATTTTGGTGTGAGCATATATGTAAGAACATGTAACATGAGATCTGCCTTCTTAAACTTTTAAATGTCTTGTACTAATTGTTGGCACAATGTTGTAAAGCAGATCTCTAGAGCTTAATCATGCAGCAACCATTGTACTCTCTGCAGTAGACTATACCTCATGTAAATAGTATCGTGCAGAATTTGTCCTTCTATGAATAGCTTATTTCACTTAGCAAATGTCTTTAAGATTCATCCATATTTTTGATATAGCAGGATTGTGTATTTATTCATTATCTTATTTAACTAGAACATGTGTTCCAAGAGAGCAGTGATTTTTGACTGTGTTCAGTTTGCCAGTATATCTCTGCCACTCAGAACAGTGCCAAGAACAAAGTAAGAACTTAATACATTCTTGAATAAGTGAGTTATATCATATTTGATGCTTTTTTAAAAAAAGTTATATGAGATGAAACTTTGAAGAATGAGTATTGTGGCAGTCAGGTATTTGGGCTTGCAAACCCAGATTGTGAGTTTTAAACCTGGCCTTACTAGGAACTATGAGTGACTTTGAAAAAATTTCTCAAACTCTCTGTTCCTCAGTTTCTTCCCTTGCATAATGAGGATAAGGGTCCTTATTTATGTTTACTAGTGGCCTGGTGCATGAAATTTATGCACATTAAAAGGGAATTAATTAGAGGAAATATTTTAATATTGCTCTTTGCCCTTTCTCTATAATAGAAGTGTCAGAGATGAAAGAAAATTAGTAAAATGTATATGAAAATCTTCCACCTGTCAGAGTCTAGGGCACACCGTGGGACCCAGAGTCAAGTCCTGCCCACCCACAGCACCTCAAAATCACGCGAGACCCAGACCCAGCCAGGCCCATCCCCATTGGGTCCCGCTGGGTTGGGGGTGCGGCCTGAGGTCCCCTGGCCTGGCGCTGGGGCAGGCGGTGTGGCCTGAGGTCCCCCAGCCTGGGCTAATGCAGATTGCATGCCTAGAAATCACCCATCAAGCCCTGCCGGGTGGGGGATGTGGCCTGAGATCCTGCATCAAGCCACACAGGGCAGGGGGCGCAGCCTCAGGTCCCCTGCCCAGTGCCATGCAACCTCAGGTCCCTGATGATTGCTCGTTAAGGCTTGTTACGGGAACTCGGCCTCCACTGTGGGTGCAGCCATCTTGTGTTATGGAAACCCTGCCTCCGCTGTGTGAGCAGCCACCTTTGTGATGGTGTGACAATCAATTTGCATATTCCCTTTTTATTAGATGAGATAAATATAATTTATAATTGTAACAGATGCAAAAAAAGCAATACTTGCCGTGACTGGTTTGGCTCAGTGGATAGAGCGTCGGCCTGTGGACTGAAGGGTCCCAGGTTCGATTCCAGTCAGGGGCATGTGCCTTGGTTGTGGGCACATCCCCAGTGGGGGGTGTGCAGGAGGCAGCTGATCGATGTTTCTCTCTCATCGATGTTTCTAACTCTCTATTCCTTTCCCTTCCTCTCTGTAAAAAATCAATAAAAAAAAACCTTTTTAAAAGAAAAGCAATACTTATGTGTTTGTTATATAAATAAGCCTTAGACAATTTAACTTATATCTAAAAGCTTCAGGTTTCATTATTTGTTTTTAGTTGTTTCTGATAACAAACTTTATTCTTCATTTAAAAAAAAATAGATAAAATTGGTTTACAATCGAGTCAGTTTGTTATTGTTGGAAGTGAAGTTCTTGGGATGCGGCAAGGAAATGAACTTCCTGAGGCCCCCACCGAAGGATGAGGGATCCTGGAAAGCTTTATTGATGATGTAACATTAAGGGTATTCCCCTCCAATGTCCATCTCAGTTCATCCCTCCATGGGAAAAAACTCCAACCATGGGGCCAGAATAAAGGCTCTTCCCATAGTTTCTGCGCCATATTGCAGTCCAGTCCAATCCAGCATCCTGCATGTGGAGTCTGCACGGCCATGGGTCATGTGGCTGCTTAAGGCCACGTGGCTATGGAGAGAGAAGAGGCAAACCCCCCAGGCAAGTGGGAGTGATAGAGTAGGAGAGAACAAGAGTCAGAGAGAAGGAGAGCAAGAGAGAAAAAGCTCTTTTGTTCGGGGTTTTAACCAAGAGCTTAACCAATTAACTTTTCAAGATGTTGCACGCTTCTGATGGGGTCCATTCCCTAGCCAACCCGTTATTTCCCAGGCTAGCCTGACAGCAAGCACTTTGCCTGTATCACCCCAACTTCACTGCACATGCACTCATCTCCCTGTTTGTTGGACCCCTTCCCCCAGGGATCTGCAGAGAATGGGCTGGTGGTTCCTGGGGACTGTGAAGCTGTAAGTTCCTGGTGAAGCTGCCCAGATGACCATGCTTATAATTCCTGGCCTTCCTTTTGCTCTCTTTCTATTATTAATATTAACTAGATAAGTAGGATGATAAATTTATTTTTAAACAAAATTCCTTGAGCTTGGTGCTATGTGCACAGCTGCTATTAATTCACGCTACTGCAGAGAGTGTGGCATGTATGGTTGGGAGTCGGGTAAAGTGATGCATCCTGTGGTCCTTTCAGTGTAGAAATAGGTCATTGTTTGTTCAAATTAATCACTTTAACCAAGAACATGCATTAGATAATTAGAATCCACATGTACTTTTGTTTGAATAGATTTTTTTATTTCATAAAACTGGGACTAGGATTCTTTTCAGAATTACATTGCACATTTTCATTCTCTGAAGAATGTCTTAAATTCTTTTTTTCTGTACATGGCACTTTTTTTGTGGCATTTTGTACAGGAGGATTTTAAGTTTGACAGTATCATGGACATGCCTGTCCAAAGCTCTTGTCATCACATTTCAGGACTGGAAATATATATTCAAAAACATATCAAACATCTGTCAAGAGCTGGACATCTCTGACTGAGTCAAAGTCACTTCTTCCCAATTCTCCCTTAATTATATCATTCTTCTGTGTTTAAAAAAGTAAGCTCAGGGATGACTAGGCAAAACTGTCTACTTTAAATCCTCAGCCTGTAAATTCAAAGTTTCCCATATTTTGTTCTTTCAATATATTTTCATGCTTATTCTGAAAAGACACTCCTTTGAATCTTGTCTTTCAGTCTTATTGACTTTGTTAAATAATTCTTTATTGTTGAAAGTATTGCATATGCCTCCCCCATTGATCCCTTCTTTCCCCCTGCCAACCCTCCCCCCAGGCCTTTAGCACCCTATTGTCTGTATCCATGGGTGCTGCATATATGCATACAAAGTCTTTGGTTGATTAGCCTTCCTCTAAAACTCCAATTTCATTTCTTGCTTGAGGCCTTTGCCCCTCCTCTACTCTTGCTTGAGGCCTTTGCCTAACCTCCTCTACATAGAATATTTTTTTGCCCCCATATAAACTCTAAAAACATTGGGTATTACAAATTCCATTTAGATTCTTCTTTAAAATATTGCTATCTCTCTTATTTATTATATACTAGAGGCCTGATGCATGAAATTCCTGCAAGAGTAGGCCTTCCTTCCCCTGGCTGCTGGCACCAGCTTCCCTCTGGCACCCAGGACCCAGGCTTCCCTCTGGCACCCAGGACCCAGGTTTCCCTCGAAGAGGGAGGCCCCACCCACCTGTGGCAGCCTGCCAGTAGGTGGCCTGGGCCTCCCTCTGCGGGGTGATCATGGGGCGGTGGCCAGGCCCCAACCAATCACATCGTACCCACCTTGGCTGGCCTGGCGCCAGTGGGTGTCATAGCATGATCCTGGATGGTCATCCTGAAGATCGTCTGGCCTAATTAGCATATTATGCTTTTATTATTATAGATTATATTTCATCATGCTCAGATTCTTTTATGGATTAAGCTTAAATTCCCAAAATAATAACTGGTGCCTAATAGATTTCCTTGTTTCACTGATTATTTATATTTATGTTGCTTTAGGGGGCACTTAATCTAGAATCCTCTCAAGGGATTTTAACAGTTACACAAAAGCAACAACTATTTAAAGTAGGTTTCAATTCCCAGTGTTAAAAAAGACAAATAAAATAAATATTTAGCATGTACCAGTGAAAGTTATTTGATTTTATGTGCATAAATCAGTTCTTATTTACTACAATTGTTGAAGGGATTATCCACATTTTATTGATGAGTAAATTATTCCTCAAAATCAATAAGCAACTTGTCCAAGATCACATAGTCAAGATGTGGCAGGACTGGAAAACCCACTCAGTTTATCTTCCTCCAAATCCTCTGTTCTTTCTACTTTAGCATATATTTGACCCTTGAACAATGGGTTTGATCTCTGCGGGTGCACTTACGAACAGATTTTTTTTCAGTAAATACAGTCAGCTCTCCACATCCTTGGAGTTCACATCCTCAGAAATTGAACTACTGTACATATAATTTTTATATTTTTTGGCTTCAGAAAACACAGAGATTTGGAACACCTACATAAGGTATTTACAAATGATTATCAGAAGGAGAAAAATTGGATAGAATATTTAAATTTTATTTGCAGGTTTTTAGGTGATTTCTTTTTTAAAAAAGTCCTTTGATACTCTTCTCTTCTGCATAGCAAATCAACACAAACACAGCAACTTAACGAAGTACATGTATTATTTCACAGTTTCCGTGAGTTAGAATCCCAGTATGGCTTAGCTGGTCTCTACTCAGAATTTCATAAGCTGCAATCAAGATGACAGCCGAGCCTGGGTTTAGTTAAGGCTTGGGGTCCTCTTGCAAGTTTCTGTGGTTGTTGACAGAATTCATTTCTTTGCAGCTTCTGACACATCAAGGTGATTTGCTTCTTCAATGCCAGCAACAGAAACAGAGAAGGTCTCCACAGTTTTCAGTCTCTGAGCTCAGGTAAGTCCTGAACCCTCTTTTAAAGGTCTGGCCTACACAAGATAGTCTCCCTTTTGATTAATTAAATTTACATGATTGGGGACTTTAATTACATTAGAAACATGAGACAATCCTTTCATTTTGCCATATAATGTAACATAATCACAGATGCATGTGATATATCTTCATATTCACAGGCCTCACTCAGACTCAAAGTGTGGCTCTTTGAAGATCATTTTAAAATTCTGCCCATCACAGGTATATTTTAATGAGCATTCAGTATTCTATTAAGATCTTAAAATTTGAGCTGAGAAAATAACACACACAGTTCTTTTATTTCTAAATTCTTCTGATTGATATTTAGACTATTTACAATCAGGAATTAGCAATTAAGTGTGATCTATGTAAATAACATTGTTGTTAGAGTTATTTTCTTAGAAGTAAACCATTCTTATACAATCTTTGTTTCTGAAGAGATGACTGTATAATAAATATTGAAGAATATTATGGAGAGGGTTTAGTGTTAGATGAACTAATCGTATGGCTATGTGTAATAAGCTAGCATTGACTATGATTCAAACCTAGAAAGAGATGAAGGCTGAAAATTTGCCATTAGATTTGGTCAATGGAAATAGCAAAGTTTTATACTTGATTAGCCATCAAATATCTTTCTAAAGCTTGTATATCAGATTAATAATTCCTTTGGGGATACAAAGGTCATTGTGCATTTCCTACTCGAGATATCATCTCACCACGCATGGGACAGCCAGCTTAGAAATATGAAACAGCTTATTAGAGGTAAGTCAACACTCAAGGGCCATGAGGATATTGCTGGAGCAATTCTGTTTACTTGTTTGCTAGAACCCAAGGAGTTGATGAATAAGCAAGCATGGTGATACAATTAAAAATGAGAAATGATGCAAACATTATGCTCCCAGGACTTTCTCCAGAGATTATTATGCAAATATTAGAGTACATATTGTGTTGGGTTCTCCTTCATTTTCATCTTCAGGTAAACTTATTTCAGAATTAGTTTTGCTGTACAGGTATTTATGAGTCTTACCAAAACCCAGACCCTTCCCTTGTAGAGAAAAGGTTATATGGACTTCAGAAGGAAATTTCCAAGCATAAATCACCTCAGAATGTGCCTGAATATATGTTTCCCATGGCAGAAGGGATCTATTCAGGACACATGTCTAGACAATCAAGACAGACAGGAAGAGCGTGACAATAGTTACCTAACAACTTCGTGTCCCATCAGTGCCCCCTGAAGTTGAACCATAAATATGAGGCACATATTTCTCGTAGGCAGATTGCATAATTATCTGCTCTACCAGCTAAAAAGAATTTCAAAGGCTACTGATAACTTTTAAATCAATTACATTAGTTGGAGGGTCTCAAATTTCAGTGGGCATAAGAATTACCTGATTATACCTGATTCTTCTCTGGATAAGGTTCAACTTTCTTTGAAGTAGCTTAGACTTGGGTCAAGAAAAAAATCACTTCTACGTGGAAATATAAGAAAACAGTAACCAGGTTAAAAGACAATTTTGAATGTAGCACGTTAGAACAGGAACTTCCTTATAAGTGATTAGAAAGCACACACATGAACATGCATACATATACACATGGACAAATAATCATTAGTAGAATAGTAAATTACAGGCCTTTAAATATGAGTCAGGTTTTGGAATTCTTACTGAGAAAAAAATAAGACTGTGTTATGTTTTAAGAGTAGTCCCATGTGATAAAAATATAGCATAAGCCATATGTGCAATTTAAAATTGTTTCATTATCACATTAAAAATACAAAAAGGGCTGGGAGAGGTCAAGGGGGAAAAAGGAGACATATGTAATACTTTCAACAATAAAGAATTTTAAAAAAGAAGTTTGAAAAAATAAATAAAAATATAAAAAGAAAAAAAAGGAAAATTAATTTACTGATATGTTTCCTTTCATTTTTTGATAAGTTAAATACATTTTGGAAATTAAATAAATGCCATGTAACATAAAATAAGGGCTGTTGGATTCCAGATATTTCATTGTCAAGATTCCAGAAGAGGTCTCATGTTCACGCTGCATGGAAGCAGCAGGGCCCTCTTCCTGGGCTGGCTGGTGACTTCCTGGGCGTTCCTGGGGAGGCTCTGTCACCAGCTCTACCCCATTTGCACCTTGGTGCTCACTACTCAGTGTTGCCAAGGTGAAAAGCAATTTGATTTCAAATGGGTGCCTTTGATTCCAGATGTCTATTTTATGGCAGTCCATCCAGCATTTGTATCAATCCACTGCTGTTATCTTTAGCTATGGCACATCTCTTTGTGCCTTTTCTTTGTACTTTTGATCACTCAGAATGATGATAGTCTCTTTCTTTGAGTTATCCTTAAGGCTGAAGGCTTTTCTTTATTGACTCATTAACACTGCTGCAAATCTTCTGGTGGCTACAGCAGAGCTCCCTGCTTTGGGAAATACCCAAAAAATGATTTCCTGGTATCCTACCAGCTTATATGTTAAGTCAGACCATCCTAAACATACTTAGAGTGAGGAAAATTCATCTAGCCATTTTAAAATGATGTCATAAATGGGCAAATGGAAACAATTTTTTTTATGTACAGACAACAAAATTAATTTTTAAAAATAGATTGAATTATCACATAAACTTCTCTTAAATTATTAAAGTTCCTTACCCAAAGGTAATAGGATTAATAGTTTAGATTTTACTTTCTGTAAGCTTGAAATCCAAATACGATTACAATAGTTTAGGAAGTTGACACTTTTTATAAAAATGACACATTATCAACACTCTCAATGTAGACATCAGTTTTGCATTATTCATAATCTAATGTAGCATAATTAGGAGCTAAGTGAAAATTGAAGGGTCCATTCACCCACTAATTACTTTAATGCGTGACTTTCATTGGTTTCATTTTTCCATTCCTGCCTCATTTCTTGCTACTTACCATTCTCTGTCTAAAACCCCTCCTGCTGCAAATTTAGTTCTAGCTGCCCTTGGGGTTGTGTTTAGATTTGGGGCTGAGAAGAAACATAGTATACAAATTATCTGGAAGATGGGTTTTGAAAATTGTGGGCACAGGAATATTTGGTTTGAAATTTGAGGCTGAGACTGAATCCTTCTTGAAAGTAATATTTTATTGGCAGCACTTTTGAATCATGTGGAGAGTGAGACTGACTCAAAGTATTGTCAGCCAAGTGACTGTGTCAGGAGGAGGAATGGTGTGCATCTTTTTACTGGAGTGCCACCTTTTATCTTCACCGAATCTGAAAATATAAAGCAGAAATAATAAACATATGAATACAATCTTGGAAAATATGCGATCTGTTCACTTTACAATTCAAAAAAAAAATGCCAAAAGTGAAATGACCACTTTACTAAGCCTAACACTTCAGTTAATTCCTTTGAAATGTTCCAGCTTGCTTTTGCATATTTTGCATGCATACCGCCTATTAACACAACAGAAAGCATTTCAATAGCATAAATTCGGGAAGTATGCCAGCATGGCACAGTCCTGTTCTCTGCTCAAATGATCACAAGGCTGCCATGAAGGTGTCATTCAAGCTGAGGATTTGCCTGGAGAAAAACCCACTTTGGGCTTCACTCTTGTCAGAAATTATAGCTTTTCATGGAGCACCAAGGTGCCTGTGTCCTTGCTGTCAGCCAGCGGGTGGCCACTTTCAGTTCCTAGAGGCTTTTCTTCTTTGTTGCCACGTGGCCCCCTCCATTGTCAAAGCAGCAATGATCTGTCTGATCCTTCTTGTGCATGTTGATTCTTACTCCTTCTGCCTCTAAGCTCTAAATCCAGATACAAGGGCTTATGCCATTAGGTTAGACCCCCTGCCTGATAATCTTTATTTTAAAGTCACTGACTTGGGACCTTAATACCTCTGCAGAATCCCTGTTGCCATATGAGGTGATATAATCACGAGAGTGACGGCTCATCAAATTCACAGGGTCCACACTCAGGGAGGAAATTGTTACAAGACTGCACCTCATTGGGGGGCATCTTAGAATTCTGCCAGTCACAATCATGTCTTATATAATTCAGATTTAGAGAAAAACTGTTATTTATGAAAGATTATGGAAACAGCCTGCCTGCTACCAACCAGGAGATGAAACTCAGGAGTACAAAAGGAAAGCAAAAATAGGATCCAAATATAAACCCAGGTAATGAGGAATCAGAGTTAATGTGAGTTAAACAAAATGATGCCATTGGAGAAGGGAGGCTCTGCTAACCCTGAGCATTGTTGATATCAGGTGGTTTCAGTTATTTAAGCTAGCATTTTCTTTGTCATAACCTTGGGAATTTCTCAAACCACAAGACTTAGGTTCAATTGCACCTGGTATAGTTTTGTATAATAGGCTGAATGGAGGGCAGAGTAGACATAGTGGAGATATTAGCTTTTATAGGATTTTGCCCAGCCTTACTATTTCTAATTATGAATCCAGATCTCTTCCTGTGCCTTTGCTCAGAGAGAAAGAAAACCCATTTACTGTATTTTACTTTGAAATGTTAGGTTTGTGGCATCCCACATGCAGTGACATATTCAAAAAGGTTTGCTTACACTAAGGTATTTGCTAGTGGCTTTCCTGGAAGTGAAGAGGTGCAGGACTAGCAACCTGTCACCTAACCTTTCTGAGATTTCTCTTTAGAAAGATTATAAAATCTGTAAATTACAATTATCTCAAGTGGACAGAAAAGCTGTTCTTTTTTAAATATATCATTTTCATGTTTTTATTTTTTCATTATATATATATATTTCAGAGAGGAAGGGAGAGGGAGAGAGAGATAGAAACATCAAAACATCAATGATGAAAGAGAATCATGGATTGGCTGCCTCCTGCATACCCCCTACTGGGGATTGAGCTGGCAACCCGGGCATATGCCCTGCCCAGGAATCTAACCCAGTACCCTTCAGTCCACAGGTCGATGCTCTATCCACTGAGCAAAACCAGCTAGTGCCGGAAAAACTGTTCCTGAGAGACACAGAACTTCAGTCAGGCTCAA